ATAGTAGCCTACGCTACCCAGATTTGGCACAAAAAAGGGGGAGTACACGTTTCGCAATTATGCCACATCAAGGTGGAACGCTCTTTCCCACAACTGTTAAAGGAAAGTAAAACTATACTTACCTTCAAAACCTCTCTTAAAGAGGCACCTTCGGGGGAGAGCATTGCAAAACTGGGCCCCGGTAATGGTATAAATCTCAACCTGTCGTTCAATGGGACAGCTTCCCCCCCCCCCCCCCCCATCTATGTATATATACTCGCATTTTAGACTCTGTTACTAACTGTATATCTGTAGACTTGGTATGTCTTAAATGTCCGGTTAGGATGTATTAGAACGAAATCTAAAATGAAAATTGTAAATAAGCATCTGTATGTAAAAAAAAACCACCTGTATGTAAATTGTAAATAAGCCATCTGTATGTCAAATATGTCTTATATGTCTTAAATGACATGATGAATTGGAAATGGGGGACCATGATGTAAACAAGACGAAAGGTCTTTCTCTGGTCTGCATCCCCTTAACAATTGTATGTTTTGAACTGTACTGTACTGTACCCAATATACAAGCTGTTAATAAACTTTCAATCAATCATCATCAAACGCATTACAACCAGCCCAGCATACCGACATCAGCTAACGTTAGCTTAGCAAGCTAAACTAAGGCTAACTATGATAGCCGCCAAAGTGTGTTTACGGACGAATTATACCTGAAGTCAAGCCAGCCTTTACTGAGGCCCTGAGCCTGTTTTCCAGGTCTTCTCCAGCGTTTTTCCTTCCTCTCGTTTTAATGCCATTGAACACACATTTTGATCAGAATAACAGCTAAAGGTAAGCATATCTACGTTTTTTTGCTAACTAAAGCTAACACACTAAAGCCTAAAGTGTTGTGGGGCTTAACAGGCAACGAACGTATACGACTTACCTTCTAGAAGTCTGGTGGATTTTTGTCAAGTCAGTAGAAAAGTCAGTAGAAAGAAACGTTTTGCTGCAACCTGCTGGCTGTCTGTGCGAGTATCAGAGTGGTGCGCGCGAGTGTCAGAGTAGTGCGCGCGAGTATCAGAGTGTTACCATGGTAGCAGAGGGAGAGGGAGGTGCTGCAGTATGAGCGTTGGAAGCTCAAATCAAGCGACTCGTTGACTGTGTATTTGTTGTTAAATATCAGATAAACTACTACGCATACGTGACTGGCGAGGCGGTGTGTGTGGTGGGGGGGCCAGTGGGGGGGGGGGGGGAACAAATATATCAGGGTGGCCATGGGCCCCCCCTTGCTGGCGCGAAGCACTAGATGGTCTTTAGAAAAATATCGACTCCGTGTTTGTAGATATCTACTAAAACTACAGCATACAAATACAGAGAGTAATGAAGGCCTGTTATACTGAGTGATATATATTTTACACACTGCTCTGCTTCTGCTTCTGCAACGGACCCTCACAGCTGTCCTCACTGGAAGATATCGTGTCGCGATGAAAGCAGTTTCTAAAAATAATATCCAGGGGATGCATGCAGAGCTGTCATTGGCTGAGATAAATCCGGCCGTTGCGTCACGCCTCCACCGTTCCCGGGAAATGCGTCCGCGGAGGAGCATCAGTTTCTCCTCGGTTAGAGCTCCTCCAGAGAGCCTCCTCGATGCTTGATGCTCGGTCCTCGATGTGCATTTAGAGAAATGAGATGTCCTTCAACATGGCGCGCTGAAATCCATTTCCGGTCACTACCGGAGGACCGAGGAGTCGAGGAGTGGAGGAGTGGAGGAGGGGAAATTAGAGTATTGAGGAAACCTCTAATGTCTCTTCAAGGATTCTGAATCTGGTTAGAAAAGATAGATCCACACAATTTGAAGTGAGGCAGTTTCATGTAGGAACTATTTTTCTTTCTAGAAAAAATAGTAAATGTTTTCCTTCTACACATGTGATACAATCTGTATCACATGCGTAGAAGAAAAACATTTGTATTTTTTTATTTCGAGGTGAACTGTCCCTTTAAGGAGGTAGAATATTTATATAAGAATCGACATAGGACAAATATTTTGTAAATGTAACTTAGCTGTAAAGAAACCCAGAAACAGACACAATGTAGAAAAGCATGACTCATGGTTTTAAACATCTGTGCATCACAGATGATGAAGGGGACAGGAAGTGCTTTTCATTTGCCTTTCAATATTTTGACCTTTACTTTCGAAACATCTGTAAAGGTATCCAGGTTTTGTAAGAATGAAACAAGCTGAAAAAGGAAGATCAATCCTCAGTGGTAGATTAATGTCTGTCTGGCCGTGAACCTTCATCAGGTAGTGATCCAGCGGTACAGAGCCACTGACTCTCATGAAACAGAGCCAGAGCTGCAGCATCCATCACAGGGGGGGGGGGGGGGGGGGGGGGGGGGGGGTCTGGTGTGGAGGGGACCGTCCCGCCTGCAGGACCACCTTCAGAAGTAGGTCATGCTCAGGCTGTCGGCCTCCATTAGCGTCAGCGGCCGAGCAGCATATAGGCCGCAGCTCCATTTGATGATGTCATGTGATGCTGTATAGTGAAGCTCCACCATTCACAGCTCTGTGATTGGTCGGGCCTGAGTCTGGGCTCATTAAGAGGGACAACTTATGAATGGACTGTTTATTTTTCTTTCTAAAGAGGGGCTGAACAAAGAGAAGTCCCAAATATAGATTGTTTACTCAGGAGTCACAGAGACCCTATCACTGTTATGTTTGTGTGTGTGTACATTGTCACAGTCATTAACTCCAGTTTGCATAACTTTTTATGTAGTCAAAAAGAGACAACAATATATCCCAATAAAATACTACAAATGTTTGTTTTTGTAGAAGAACCAAACAAACAAAAGCGTCTGTTAAAAGAGTTGGTTTTTTCCCAAAGTAAGAAATATCATAATATCATAATATCATGATGTTTGCATGGCAATATTGTATTGGTGCAAAGAGGTCAAGTATCAATCTTTTATTGTATTCATTATTAATAATTGCAAATACAATTTAAACTTTTTGGTAACAATCGTTTTGTCCAGAGTTTTTACCTGATGAGGTCAGGGGGATTGGCAGGAAGTTAGTCAAAAAAATAGATGGAGACGTGGGGAAAGAAATCAGAGAGCTGCCAAAACGTTATCTTATTAGATAAAAACAGAAGTTAGCAAACTGCATGATTTGCAGTTGAACAGAAGGTAAAACATTGGAATATACGGCAATGTATTTTTGTCGCAATCATTTGTGACTCTCGTGCCCTGATCAAACCCACAGCTTCTGTATGATGAAAAAAGTATGGGTTTTATTTGGAATCTGTTTCGGTTTTGTTTGGAACTGCTCTCCACTGGAGAGATGTTGCAGGTTCAAATATGGGAATGTCAGTTTCAGAGCTGTGATATTAAATGAATTTGGCCCGTATAGATCTGATGTGGCAGCAGATATTTCAGAGACAGATATCTCAAACCAAAGCTGTCAGCAGGGACAGACACCATGGAGGAACGTGAGAAAATATGTTTTTACTTGCCTTCAACAAGAGTTTGGTAATCTCCCCCTCAATAAACACACTGCGGAGGTGTGGCTGGTGTGTTGCCACATGCCACTCTTAAAGTCAGTTTGAAACAACACACAGGATATTAAACACACACTCTCTCAAACACACACACACTCAAAGCCTCTGGTATTTATAGCTCTGACTTAAAAGGCTGGTGCTGGAAGACGGATATTTACACATACCAGACCAGACATGAGAACAGAGGGTCACTTCTTAAAATGTCCCCTGTGCGTGTGGGGGGGGGGGGGGGGGGGCTCAGGGAAAAAATAGCCTGTGAAAAACTTACAGCAGTTCTATATAACCAAACAAGTAGAGAACAATGATCAGTATTCATTTAGAATCACGGCCTGAAACAAAGAGGAGACCAAAGACACAAATTGAGCATAAACATTGAGAAGCATCAAAATGTGACTCAATGAATTCAGTGTCACCTGGTCGTCTCACGCATCGACTACTACCTCTTCTCTTTGGTCTCCCTCTCAAGTCTGTCCACAAACTTCACCTGGTCCAGAACCGCCCGCACCATCAGCGGCACCCCCCCCCCTAGATACTGTATACGAGGCTCACTCCTCTGTACCTCTCCCACCTCGTGCATTTCAACAATACAAAGTATTGTAACCAAACGTGTGAAAAGTAAAAGTCTTCATCGGGCAGTAAATGTCCCCTGTTAGTGTTTAACTTGTACATCTGGTGTTTCTGGATTCATGACTGCTGCATTCATGTATGTTGCATTTGACCTCTGTAGTTGTTTAAGGTGGTGCTCATTGTAACTCCTTTATATGCTGTTGGGTAGTTTATTCATCATATTTGATTAGATCCTAATGTTTGTAGCGTCACTGTCCGGTGAGAAAAACGTACATTCAGCTTTGTGACGTCACTTATGTTTTCAGATGATCGGGTATCTCATCACATAAAGGAACACTTCATCCTTCAGTTAATCAAAAACATTCAACACATCTTGAAATTCATCAAGTTCACTGGATAGGAAGGGAAAACAAAAGTAGCTAGAAAGTACAATATTGACCACTCGGAGTAGAAAGGAAGCATAAAGTTACTTCACATGGAAATACTCCAGCGAAGTACTTCAAGAACTGTCAGTATATATACTCTGTCGGGAAGAAAGCCCAAACAAGTGTAACAGTATCATGTCCATGGCCTGAAGCAACTCTGATCAATGGTTCACTTAGTGTTCATGTGTCATCATTAAAGATGGCCGTTTATTGTGTTTCAATTGATTTCCTCTTTTGACACTTTACATGTAAGCATTCAGAATCTTCCATACTAATAATGGGGTGAATGATAGAAAAGAGTGGACCTTAGTGTTGGTCATTACTTTATACCGTGTCACCAGCACAGTGAATCACACACCTGCCCTCAGCGCAGCTCACCTGGATGTGTCCGGACTGGAGAGAGTTCTTAGAGATCCAACTAGTGTTGGACAATATGATGAGGGCATTGGAGGGGAAACATAAATGGCATACTATGGTTTTAGTTTTTATACTTTTTTATTAACAATGTCATATTGTACTTTCAGTGTACAATTGTCAGCATTGTTTATGCAATATGCTATGCAAAAATATAATTTACAAACACTCCCCTATTCTTTATCAAACAAGCTGTAGCTGCTAAAGCCTTAGCACTCCTGTTGCCTGCAACATGGCAAAATCAATCCATGTATATTCTTTGGTTCTCTGATATAGATCTGTTGGGTACAGGTGTCACAATATCATCTTGGAGAGTAGTTGAAAATGCAACTATGTGAACAATTATGAAGGCTTAGTTTTGCTACATGTTTCTATCTCTGAACTAACCTGTACATTTAGAGTCTTCAAAGAGTTCCCACAGTAAGGCACTTTTTCAACCAGTCTAAAGCCAACTAAGGTATTTTATTCATGGGAATATTACTCAGCTGACTGCAAAATAAAAACACTTTAATCTGACGCCCACTTCTCATTGGGGGTCCTTTTCCCATGTGTCATTAATCCCATAATTACAGTAAATAAAAACCTCCATGCAGGAGCAGTGCGGGGGTGGGGTCATAAGCACACAGAAAACGTTCAACCTTCATTTTTAACCATAGCCCTTTTCTAAAGCATAATTGTACACCACTATATATAAATCATTTAACCTTTGTATACATTTAACAGACTTTCTCCCAAGTTTAAACTATACCCATAGCCCATAACATTTACTTTAATGCATGTGACCATTTTCTGTAAAAAAAAATTAAGAAATAGAGAAGGATATTTAACAAAGTGATCCCTGATGGTTGCGTCTGATTGGAGCAGCTCAGTTGTACATGGTCATGTGGAGCCACTGGAACCAATCAGAGAAGAGAAAACATTTAGTTCAACACATCTGCTTTAATGATGACACAATCTTTACAGTTGATGTGTCTCCTGCCTCAAAGCTCGACAGGGTTCAGTCACATATCTGAGAGGACTGCTCTTTATACACTCTGTATTAGCTTGTAGAAAGTACTCTTAACATAGACCTTATTTGTGTGGAGGTTTGACGGTACGGTACTGTATGTCAAATGAAACTCTGACTGACAGTGCAAAGGACAAAAAGAGACAAACAGCAACATTTCAATAAGAATATAACAACCAGAAAAACACCCCATTTCTACTGATTCTTTTATTTTGTTCTTTATTTTTTTGTCTTTGCTTGTTTATCAACATCTTTATTGTGCGTTTGATTGCTATTTTTGAGTCACTAAAAAAGATTGAACTGAGCAAAATGCAATATAAATACTGTGTGAACCCAAATAAAGCGTTTAAGTTATAACACAGTTAGCTTAGCATCAACATGTGTGCAGATTCAAGAGGAACAGCCAGAGCCGGCCCGACCCATTAAGCGACATAAGCGGCCGCTTAGGGCCCCGCAGCCACTAAGGGTTTCTAGCAAAATAAATAAATGAAAATATTCTCAGTACCATCGTCGCCGTGATAAGTATGTTTAATTAATTGTGTTAATATGCCTAGATTGCCTACTCTCAAAGTCATGTATTATATTATTGAGTCAATCATATAATACATTCACCGTGCTTTACCTGAACCTCATCATGACACTAGAGAGGACGGCAGGAATGTAATTTCCCGTGTTCAGTGAATGCAACAGAGGCAAGACACCAGAACAACCAGAGAGTTGAATGGAAATAAACATCTGTCTTATTGGCTGACAGGTACCTATCCTGTGAGCTGTGACAATGTTTAAACTGTCAGTCGGACTCAGAGTTTTTGAAGATGGACATAAGAAACATTTTTCTTAAAAAAGACGACAATTCTCAAGTGGTGGCTCACACAACAACCCCAGAGCCACCACTTGAGCCAGGTGAACAAGGTATGTACATGTCAGTAACTTCCAAGTTATGCGAACATGTAAGCAAAGCATAAATTACAGCTACGTTGACGTTACTTTGAATCGCGGGGTAAGCTAAACCGTTAGCAAGTAGCTATAGCTAGCCAGATATATTAAATAAACACTTTGTCATACAATCTAAATGTAATGGTTTTTAGCATTACCTGGTGATTTCAAAGAAAGCTCTCTGGGAAATGTTGACTTACTGTTCGATATGAAGCTAGAAGCTACCTTACACTACACAGTTGATCCGGAGTGCTGTCAGTTAAAGTGTTTCATAGTTAGCTTAGCTGAGCATCAACCTAGCACTGAAATATATGGATGTTATGTGACAGTATTTCTGAGAAAAGGTCAGCTGAAATGGTGGCATAGTTGCCACTGCGTGTCAACAGCATGTTTGAACGTATTTGCAGCAGTAAATGTGGCTGTTTGGGCACTGACGTTGCCATAACAACACCTGAATTTAAATGTGCAACCTCTTTTTGTGACAGATTTTTGCAAGAAATTATAATTCTTCTGAATGATATTCCTATTGACAGCTAGTTTCTATGTGAACATTATGAGATGGACAGCCAGAGAGAATAAATGAAAAACAGTTGTGAAATACTATATGACAAAACAAGAACACAGTTTAAGTGATTTGTAAAATATCCATAAAGAAAAATCTGTTTACAGTTCTGTTTCATATGGGTGTTGAGAGATGTATCCATAGATCTCTTAATTTTACTCTCAAAGTGCACCAGATTGATGCATTTAACTTCAATATTTAAGCATGCCCCCGGACCCCCCTAGAGGAGGTTAGGTCCACAGTGTTTACATGGTTATTTATACAATATGTGTGCTTATGCTAACATCATAAGACAAAAGTTGGTTCCGTGTTGTGTGTAGTGAGAACGTGCGGGGGGGGGGCCCCAAGCCAAAGCTCGCTTAGGGCCCCCATAAGTCTAGGGCCGGCCCTGGGAACAGCTTCCTGTTTCACTCAAGTGTAGAATAATGCCTCTAACAAGCTGGAAGTAACTGCTTTATTAAAGCTGTCCTTGGAACAGAAACAGAATGTTAGTGGATGCACTGTGTGAATATCAGCTGGACATGTGACTGACAGATCACAGTTTAACACTCAGTCTAACACTGAGTGCAGATTCAGCTCAATATTCAGAGACATTTGCACATTAGTGGTTCAATAATGATCGATGGTATGTAGCTTCTTGGAACTAGAAAACAAGTCCAAATATTTGTCATCAGTATTCTTCCCTGTCGTACATTGTGAGGACATAAACTAAATGTACATTTTAATCTTTTAATTGTTTTTCTATTTCAGATGTAAATAACGTATTTGTCTGAATTATCATTGGGTATTTGATTTACAATCAAATTGTAGCTTATATTTATTGTGGGATTTTCCTTCACTATATTATGTGTTCCTGTTGCATGTTAAGCCCTTTTTCTTTTTTGTTAAAAGTACAAAGTCAGAGCAGATGAAGGGGGAGGAGTGTGTTGTTCCTACCTGTCTGTAGCTGATGGATATGTTGCCTATCCCCACCATGTCGTACCGTTGGAATTTGTCTGCAGAAGAGAAGAAATGTGAAGATGTGAGAAACAGTTGAACTGTGCCTTCTGTCTGTACGAGAGAATATAAAGATTTACAGAAGCTTTCTAACTATGTTCAGATTTCAAAATGCTGTTTCCAAGTTAAACACAAGTTCGTTTTGGCACATCATTTGTGATGGATTGATCGAGTTTAGCATCATAGCAGAGGGTGTACAATTGTTTGAATTGGGTGCTAATCTGAGCAGGGTTCACAGTAATAATGTGCATTATTGTAATGCATAGTGTATAACATTATTTTAACAAAAACAATGTGAAATCAGGTAAAATTATCATTTTTTCATATTTTTGTATTTCTCCTTATATTTAATATTTGTATCCTCTATTTATTCATTTTTATATATTTCTACGTTTAAGCTTTATCAGATGATTTGTTATGTCTTCCTTATGACTCCATGATGTTTTTGCCAGCGTGAGATATGTTGGCGTCACATCACTGCTGTGAAAACTCCCTCTCTACTGGGGACATCTGGACATGTTGGCAGTGATCAGCAGAAGGAGAGGGTTGGATTGGATTATTCTGGATCATTCATTTCAAGTGTTAAAGTGTTTGAAACATCATATTGCCCCCCCCCACACCCCTTACGGATCATGGTCTCCAGCTTCATCAGCAGGAACAGGAAGCCGGGGTAGCTGATGGTCATGTCGGGCTCCGTGTACCTGAGGCCAACCAGCTGCATGATCAGGTCGTCCACCTGGATGCCTGCAGCACTCACAGAACATCACTTTATTAACATTCATATTTTCAGTATGCCTGAGTTTAAATATATATTTCAATCCAGAGTGAGGTGGAAGAAGGATTACAAATGTTACATTAAGTAAATGTAAGTATTACAAATATAAAAGTATTTCAAGTATCAAAAGAAAAGTTTTTATAATGCTACCATATCAAACACTATAATGAGATTATTATTGTTATTTTAATTACTATAACATTACTTTCCATGTGAATATATAATAATTACATTTTGAACCATGTATTGTTGTAAAAACTCTTTCTATCTGCAATTTTAATCGGAACTAAAGCTGATAAATGTAGTGGACTATAATGAACTATTTATCAGATATGTGGAGGAATACAAGTAGAAGTCAGTCTAAAATGAAAATACAAATAAATGTATTCTGATAATATAATGGATATAAATGTAACTTTATTAAGGCGTTGAATGTAGTCAGAGTATATATGAATGATGTAATGATGCTGAGTAGAGTTAGAGGGGGTTTGTCTCCCTCTGCTGGTCAGGTGTGGATCCTGAACATTAAACAGCTGCACGTCTTACACATGGACTGATACATGCAGCTGAGGGAAGTGCTAAGGTAAATATACTTTTATTGATTTCTTTGATTTGCTGTGAGTCCCACCTGCTGCCTTGAGAGCGGGAGCCACCTCCTGGTACTCCAGACGATTTGTTTTGTTCTTGTCAAACACCAGGAAGATATCCTGAGGACAGATGGAAAACAAGTGAATAACATCATGTCTGTCAACATTATTATCATCATTCTGAAAGCATCACACGCAATGATCGACCCAGCTCCTGTTCCAAAGATGTGATCTTCTGATAAAACATGTTGTTTTTCATGATAAACAACACCTTGATGGTTTTATGTTTTTATCCAGCATGATACTTTTACATTTAAAATGGCAGTGCTGAAATAAACTGCACCACAAAGGACTCAGTGTACAAATAAAGAAAGAGAGGGATAAGAAAATAAATAACCCCCACAGTGATTTAAGGAAGGATTCTTCAAATCAGCCTGTGGAAGAAATCTCCTTTAACCATTACATTTTAGAGTACATAGACAAGTGATTTGAACTGTCATCAACATTAAGTCATAGAGCATATCTGTGACAGGACAGGACTGTGCGTGTGTGTGTGTGTGTGTGTGTGTGTGTGTGTGTGTGTGTGTGTGTGTGTGTGTGTGTGTGTGTGTGTGTTGATGATCTCACCGTCCACCTCCTGATTTTGTCCCACAGACTCTTGAACTCTGACCACTCCAAATTAGCGTTGCCTTGAACCTAAAGTCAAGTCAAGGAAACACAAACAATGCCTCACAGTGACAACATGATGACTTCACTCAGTGTGAAATATCTATCATTTTGTATTTGATTTAACTCACAATTTAGCTGTCAAGTGTTTTCCTCTTGTTTGTAGTTTTTAAAACTTGTCTCGCCTGAACAGGGACTTGAACCCTGGACCCTCAGATTTAAAGTCTCTACCGACTGAGCTATCCAGGCTCTGGAAGGGGTATTATACATTGTGATAGAGGAAACAAATGTTTCTACTACTGTGCTATAGTCTACAGATCTTTTTTTATCTCATCGCTATTTTAGTGTTTCCCACATGCTCTTTTCTCTGAAGTTAACATCTACATTGTATTAAGAAATAATGTAAGATAAAAGTATCAAACCTCAGGATCCAGAGAGAAGCAGGACTCATTCATCGTATGTTGCTGAACTCACTGAGGGTCCTGAATGAAGAGGTATTTACTAACTATCCTGGTTCTCATGGCAGTGATTTACATTAAAGAAAATATCACACTATAAATCTCCACGAGGGTCAAAAACGACACCTCTATAAAAACTCTTCACTAATACTAACAAACTAACAGATATGACAGAGATATAGATAGAAATGACCGATAAGGATACATCCGTGAGGACCACCAGGCTCTTGCAGTGTTCCAGAGCCAGGTACTTCTCACTGCCAGCCAACACTGAGACAGAGAGCACAGAGGGCATTAACACATGCATTCAGTACACACAAGTATAAACAGTATATTAATGAGAGTGAGACAAGTCATCAGAGAAAGAACTGATAGCTGTAGCCCTCATGTTGCAGGCTGGGCTGTTTGGAGTGGCAAAAAAGAATTTCTTAAACAAAAAAAAGAAATGTGATATTATACAGAGGTATAATTAAAATGTGGATTTCCTTATTGCTCTTAGAAAGATCAAAGACAAATAAACGTTTGAATTTTTTTATATAAAATGTATTTAATTGCAAATGGTATATGAAATAAAAGAAAAAAAAGGAATATAATTGAAATGCTAACAATATTTTATTTAGATATTTCTCTATATATTTGCACAATTATTCATTCTTGAATATGAATGTTGTTATGTTAATGACTCTCAACTAGCAGAGGCCTGTACTACGAAGCAGGATTTTCGTTTAGCAAGATAACTTCTGGGATTTCCGGTACTACGAAGCTGGTTCACTTTTTAGCGGGCTAGATCTCCATGGTGACTTATCCTGGAACCTAGTCTGTGCTCCGAAGCCGGATAGGTTCCAGGATAAGAGATCAACTCAGCGAAAGCACCACGCCTGCTGACCAATCAGAGCTCAGTGTGCGGAGGAAATACAGTTTAAACTGCTGTTGCAGGAAAGACGGCCGGCCAAAATCACCGACTGTGTGAACGTGAAAATGAATAGAACATCACCTCCCATCTTCAGAGCAGTCTGACTATTATAACTATTATACTATTATGTTAAGAAAGCTTAATTAAATATCTGCCACAACATAAGTAACCGGATCAAAGTAACATTACGTTGCCTACAGTCACTGTGAGTTCAGACGTTGATGTGTCCCATTATCATTCATATCACATCATATCACATCATAATGTATCATATATTTCCTTATCTGAGTCAGCTGAGCCGTATCTGGCCGTGCAACACTCACAGTGTCACATACTGTATGCAGAAGTATTATTTTAAGCAACACATTAAGTTGACGAAACACTCGAGTCAAATGTAATGAAAGTCAGATGGTGTCTTGGACGGGGCAGTGATATCATAAACCTGTTAATGTACGCATTCAAACACTTTTTCTTTTACCAGCTGTATTCACCTTGCAGGTGCAGCTCTGTGGCTTTGATCCTGGATAAAGTGTTTAAGTCATGGATGTTTAAAGTTTAACTTTTTCATATGTCTAATATTATAGTTTCATTTCACTTTTCATTCAGGAAGTATGACGCTGCGCTGTCAGTACGCTTCTCCATGTTTGTGATTGGTCGAATGCTCCAGATACCACCCCTTTCATGTGAACGCGCACCTAACTAGATAGGACACGGCTGGCTTGAGCGAACGAGTTGATAGCCAGCGTTGTAGGACAGTTTAGCGAGAGCGGCTTTGTTTTGGATGAAGTCAACCGGATAACTCAAAACATATCCAGGATAGTGTTGTGGAATATTTTCCAAGGCCCATAACTTTGACCCAGTTTATCAGTTCAAACTGTCCTGACTGAGCACACGCACCTCGTAACCTTGGCTGCTGTGCTCTCAGTATTCTGTCTCCCTGTTCCTGCCTGTTGGCGTCAGCTGATAGAGGTGTTATGATTCTATGTTCCTGCCTGTTGACGTCAGCTGATAGAGGTGTTATGATTTTATCTTGTTATGCAGCAGTTTGATGATGCTCTCAGAACTAGTTAAATACATGGGTCTGAGGTAGAGTTCTTTAGAATTGACGTGGCAACCCACCCGTGCAGTCTCACCGTGACTGCTGTGATTTGTGATGTGAACTCTCCGGCCGTAACTCCAAATAAACCTCCAGTGTTTGACATCAAAAGCTCCTGCTCCACCGTGTCTCCTTCCTGAGTCGGTGACTCCCACTGCATTGCTACACAGAAGTTTCCCTTACAATTTGGCGTTGTCGGCAGGATACCAACAAATCTTCAGGGCTGGTAAGTGTGATTTTCAAATATACATTTGGACATTGCCTTACCAGAATCTGTGATTGACGGTATCCTAAAATTACCTGTGAAACTGAGCGGCTGCGTTTCGTTTTTGGTTGACGAACATTTGGGGATAATAAACCCAGGAGATCAGTGTCTGGGGACTCAGTCCTGGCTGATTTCCTCTATGTGTGCTGCTCGGGACGGAAGTGCCATACAAGCATACACAGCTCATGTTTAGAGTAACCTTAAAGAAATACATCAGTAAAGTGGAGCTTCTGTATGAGAGCAATGTAAAGATTTGTATTGAACAAATCGCCGAATTCTGGGGTTTCAGCGGCCAAAACAGCAGTTAAAAATAAGCAGCCAGAGATATTCCCCCCATCGCCTCTGTGAGCACGGCTCCAGCAGCAGCCACGGGTGTGTGTGTAAACATCCCCGTGTCTGGGTGGCTGCAGCCGTGCAGCTGAGAGGAAGAAAGTCACAGTTCCTGTCTATATCTTTAACTCACACCACCGCCATCCCTATTAAAAACGGTCTAAAAGCACTCGTTGTTTGTGACCGTCTTCTGCATTGCTGGTAAGGCTGGGGCAGCACGAGGTGCGTGCATCACCTGATGCGCCACAGCTCTCTACTCTGCTGGAGGAACATTTCCTACGTTGCTTGGAAGTGTTGCCTACGTTGCTGGACCAGCTGGTGGCGGTCCGGGGTGCATACATAAACAATTATAGGCTAATTGATCACAGGTGGGCAGTGGCAAGCAAGTGTGGAACAGAAGCTGTGTTTTACCGTTGTGATGAACTCGATGGCAGGTATATAGGCTGGTCGTGTAGGACTACAGTTAACTGTGCTGTTTTTGGAGAGAAAGGGTAGAGAAAAAAAAGTCTATGTTCTCCTGGTCGGGGGTTCATAGCGCCACTAGAATATAGTAGTGGTTGTCGCAAGAGGATAAGCTAGTTATCGCTTTTGGACGGTCTTCAGGCACGATCTTAGCACTTGTACAAGGGTGGATGCGCGAGTAGGTGCTCCATTTCTATAATTCCCTACCCCCACTGAAACCTCTTAATTCGGACTAAATTGAGCTGGATGAGCTTTGCTGTCACGCTGGTGTTTATTACGAGTTCATGTTTTGTTTGTCTGATTGTTTGTATGGGGGGTCTATATTGGTTTGTCCCGCCATCTTGTGTATGTTTTGTAACAACTAATAATGAATCAGTCCATAGCCAGGGTAAAATGAACTAAACTTTAGTTATCTCACCAAAAGTAAATTACTTGAGAAAAATAAATAATATAAAAATGTAAAGCAAAATTCTGGTCGTATAAATGTGCTGCAAAATGAAAAATAAATAGCAAAAGAGTGTTTTTATGTCCTGCCTCTGAGTGTGCAGGGGAAAATGTAAACAAGAAGCCCACTGTTCAGGGTGAGCGCTGTAGGTGTAAGAAGAAAAGAAGATTATATTGCTTTAAGAATCCATTCTTAAATGGTATTGCTGGTATGTTAATGTTTGTGATCTTGTATAAACCCTGTGCCCGTCCTGCGCCCCGAGACCCTCAGAGACCTGCCTGAGGAGATCAGGGTTGCAAAATCTGTTTTTTTTAGGTCAATGTTGTATTATTTGTTTCATTTATTCTTAATCTATATATTGTATGGTAATAATGAATAAAAACGTAATGTATTGAACACATTCCGAAACAAAGCAGATAAGACAGAACTAGACTCAGACATAATACTAATTGTTGTTGAAAACTTTTGCGCTGTTGCTGCAAAATGGAAACTTTGTTGATTGTCTGTTCCAACTGGCCACTGGAATCAGATAATTAATATAAGTTGAAGTTCAATTACAGTTTTAAAAATAGTTTAACATTCTTTATTAAACTGCTTCAAATTATTTCTCGTATCAACCAATTGGTCTCCATAGACATTACTAAGATTAAAATAGTTGTTAAACTACTGACAAGTTTTCTGAAACCGAGCTTATGGACAACAGAGTAAAGGTCGCTGGTTAAGCCAGGATCAATATATTTGTTGAAGTTTTTATTGTGTGCATAATACATGTTTTAAACCTTGGGCAATCTCTTTAGATCAGTATCACTTTTGTGTTGCAAGCCAAATCCAGGGGTTCTACTCGAGCCCAATTTTAAATAAGTATTGAACCCAGCTCGAGCTAAATGTTAAATGTATTTAATTAATGTGCAAGTGTTTTGATTTATTTAAAATGTTCCAGTCTAGCTTCCTCCGAGTTTAGTGTAAACAACATATTGGTTCTCATAACATTCTCACTGCTGTGCTGTCCCAAATGTTTGAAACCTTGGACACACACACACACACACACACACACACACACACACACACACACACACACACACACACACACACACACACACACACACACACACACACACACACACACACACACACACACACACACACACACACACACACACACACACACACACACACACACACACACACACACACACACACACACACACACACACACACACACACACACACACACACTTTGGATGAGTATTCACCTTATCCAAATTGTAAATTGTTGCCTTCTTTAAAGTTATTAGTAATTCAAGATGAATTATTAAATTAAATGTGGTACATAACATAGAATAAACAAAATAACTTTGACTTGATAATTTTGTTCACAACATTAGACCTTGTCCTCTAATCTCTACTAGAATAAGATACGTGTGCATGTTTGGGTGTTTTAACACTCCTGTAAAGTACCTAATCTTGTTATCCTTTTCATTACAGAGCTGGGAAAATGGTGTATTGATTAGATTCTGATCCGTGCAAGTCCAATTTTAACTGACTTTAGTTCTAATGTTAATTTGATTTCAACCCATAAGTAATTATTTAGATTAACTCAACATTTCACATGATGATGGATTAGTGCTCCACATTTTTTTCCACTAATTTGTTGTGCAATTAGGCCAATGGTAAAGAGAGACATTGATGACCCTTTTGTTAGTACGTGGATCCATTTTGTCTATGGCCTTGGACGGCTTCACTAAGAGTCACCCAGTTC